GTGACATGCGTTCTTTTCGGTTCATTAAAGATTAATCTTGCAGCGGCATTTTGGATTAATTGTAGAGGTTTATTAGTTACATATTAGGCAGCAGCACAACTGTTTTCAGCATTGATAATAATAATAAATGTTTCTTGAGCAGCAAATCATCATATTAAAATGATTTCTAAAGGATCATGACACTGACGACTGAAGTAAATTACATTAAATAAATAAATAAATAAAATAACCACTTTTTAAAATAAATATTTAATATTAAATATGTATTAATTAAAGTTTTACCTTTATACACACACACACACACACACACACACACACATGCTAGTGTTTTTTTTTTTATTAAAAAAGATGATGAATATAGATAAAGTAGAATTAAAGTAGAATAGAAAGTGCTAGAGTTAGAGGGTCAAATAAAGGTGGAACAGATGTGTTTTTAGTCGTTTCTTGAAGATGGACACACACACACAATTAAAAAAACAGTTATTTTAAATTGTAACAATATGTCTGTTTTTATTGTATTTCTGATTAAATAATACAGCCTTGGTGAGCATAAGAGACTTTTTCAAAACCATTTAAAAATCTTACAGAGTCTTACTAAACTTTTGAATGGCAGAGTAAGTTTCAAAATGAGTGAACAGTGTTTAGGATTTTGCTGTATGTCTGTACTCTCAGTGCTTCAGACTCACACAGAAAGCCAACGCAGTATATTTGAATTCTGAGTGTGACAATTCCTAAATTGTACCACTTTCAGGCTCTTGGAAACTGCTGAGTGTATCAGGACTACATACATAAAACTGTCCAATATCTCTAAAATATTAGCATCAAACGGGAAAAGAAAGTGTACTGCAGTTGTTAGGAATTCATAGGGTGTCTGCAAAATTACGGCTCATGCACACATCTGTCCCAGATGGCTCTGAGTGACAGTAATCATTGTGGTGCACTCCTCAATGACAGGGTGAGGGCATGCTAATACATCAACGACAGCAATTTTGAGATGGTGAGGATTCATAAATATATGCGTATTCTCTCTGCACCCAAATAAATATCTGCTTCTGTCAGTGCCACCGCTGCAGATTCCACTTCCTCCTGCAGGATGTCTTCAGCACTCTTAAGAATCAGGTGACGCTTGTAAAGGATTCTTGGAGACTCTAGCTCCAGATACATTACCAACATGATTTATATAAATAGGACGTGTTCCTGGATCAACATTTCTTTCAAACAGTCAGTGCCTAGTCAGAGGCCAGCTTAACCTTAGATGATAACAACAAAAGAATAATAAAAAAAAGGCAAAACAACAAGCAAAGGAAACTAGCAAACTACCGAATCACTCAAAAAATAAACCAAGAATAAACCAACCAATGAACCAGCTAATGAACAAACACACAAACTAATAAAATAAAGAAAGGAAGAAAGGAAACAGGCAAACTACTGAAACAAACAAAGATTATTAAGTTTAAAAATAAACAAAAAATAAACGAAAAATGAAGGAAGGAAGGAAGGAAGGAAGGAAACAAAAATAAACGAAAAATGAACCAACTAAGAAAGAAAGAAAGAGAGAAAGAAAGAAAGAGAAAGAAGGATCAAAAAGTAAAACAAAACAAAACAAGGAAACATGTTAACTATCGAAACAAACAAAAAATAAACCACAAATAAACAACCAATGAATAAATGAATGAACAAACAAACAATTGCAGAAAAAAGCTTACCAAAACAAAGTTACCTGGTTAATCTTTTTCACGTTTCCTTGGTTGGTAGATGCACTGGGGACCTGATTATAGAACTTAAAACCTGGAAAAGTCAGATTTTCTTCATCTTTAAAGTAAACGAGCAGTTTTTCAGTGGCTTGTCCCCAGATCACAGCATTGTATGAAAATCAATTAAAGGTCCCAGGTGTTTATTAGAGTGCTGACCATAATTGCACATCTCACATTCATGTTTATGTGTGCTGGAAGGTCTAGACAACCTCCTCAACACATCTGATAATCATTTTGTCTTCAGTCTAAAACATGACCGACAAAGCGAGCAGAGAATCTCCATCCCTCACTCATAAGTACCTGACTCTCCTGTACGTACAGCTGAGATGTGAACAGAGCCCAGACAAACTCCTCAAATCATTTAACAGTGTGCCGTGCTTCAGTGGAGGTCACCGCCGGCTGTGAGCTTGAGCTTCTGGGACTAGGGCTGGGTATTGTTCAAAAATGTTTTGATACCTTGACTTCGATACCGGTTCCTGAATGATACTTTTTTCGATACCAATTTTATGAAATAAATTTTAACAAGATTGCATTATCTTAAAAAAAAAATGTGGGTTTTATTTTTCAGCTTGTTGACGTTTATACAAACTCAAAGACTCATCTTCTGAGCCACTGCACATTAGATGGCAATCGGAAGTTATTGCAAACACTCGATGGTGGTTTAAAGTGAGTTTTGAGTAAAAGTGGAATATAAATCTTATTTATTGTCTTATGTAGCATGATGCTACAGTTTGCATGAATGGTCACATAACACGCGCTTTCGGTCGTGTAGTATGAACGGACATTTGCATATAATCGGAACTCCACGCAGCTTCCGTACTACTCTCCATTGGAAATGAATGACTGAATGTTTGTCGGAGATAGTGGAAAGCCGGCTTGAAACACAGTGGAAACACCAGTATGACAAGGATCGTTTTCATTTTAAAACATAAACGCACCAGTGTAAATGTAGCCTTACATCTAAGGGGGCTGGGACGCATTCGCACTACAGCCTCACGTGTGCGCCAGATCTCTGAGTGTAACCGGTGTAAACTAGTAGGTGTGTTCGACTTGACGCAGACTGACTGTGCGGACCGGTCGGTGTATTACAGTGCCACGAGAGCTAAAGAGAGCAGACTGCTCTGTGCGCTTTCGAATCGCTCTCGCAGATGTCAAACACTGATCGATCTGCTCCGCACCTCTTCTAGTCGAATACACCGGCTAGTGCTGCAGGCTTATTGTCTCACTGACGCTGATGAGATTAACCCCTTAGGTATCGAAATTTGGTACCGAACGACGAGACGTTTCTCGATACTCTATGGTATCGAGGCATTTCGGTCGGTGCCTAAAAAGTATCGAACTCGATACCCAGCCCTACCTGGGACAGATGATAAGAGCTTCTGGGTTCCCCTTCTCTGCCATAACATGAACATGAAGCTCAGAGTTCCTTCAGGGAGTTTTGGAAATCAGAAAATACACGAGATTTACACAAGTAGGACATTCCATTCTGATCTGATGGTCCTGGAACAACCTTACTCATAAAATGATGAGGTTCATAAAAATAATATTCAAGACCCCAAAACTAATTCTACAATCAGATCTGGTCCGGTTATGAAATGTTGTTCCAGGAACATGTTCTAGTCGGTTTGATTTCATAACTTGCTCCTGAACCATCAACATTTACTGGAACAATATTGCACTGAACTCAGCAAGACCTTTTTTTTTTTTGCTAGATCAGATCAGAAAAAAAGCAGCTTGTACATGAAAATTATATTTATTATAAACACTAACTGATGGCTAAAGTTGAGTTAAATGCCAAGCATTAAAAGGCTCAAATACCATGGTGTAAAGTATGGTATACCAAGGTACTTTAAAGAATACCGTGGCATTACCATGGTACTTTTTAACAATTTGGGTTAGTGCTTTTGTTGCTAGGTCTTATGTTAGAAATTGTGCTGAGTTATCATGTACAGTAGATTGATGATCCGGCTTTGCTGTTGTAATATCTGTCAGATCTACAGTTAGCTGGATGGATGTGATGGACTCAAAGGTCATAGATAAACACATTTGTGATGCAAATCTCTCTCTCTACACACACACACACACACACACACACACACACACATGCACACACACACGCACAGTCTCTTACAAACTCTCTCATTAGGCTTTGACATTTATTAAATTACTGTATTCCCAAGAGTTTAGCCAGCGCTCATAAGTCTTATGTAAACAGGCCGCGCACCCCAAGAGCCAAGGACACACACATTTAATATAGCCTCCGCTCGCACGGCTGATGTGTCTGACCATGAATGTTTTACTGTGTTTACTTCAAGCATATTTAGGTCGTAAACATATCAACCAAATCCTTGGATAATGCCTGAGTCAGTTTTCCCCCCTGTTGTTCTATGAAGTTTCCATCAAAACCTGCAGAACCTTGTTTTCCAGCATATAAGTTGCAATTTTTTTGTGTTGTAAAATGTTTGTTTATGAAACAAGCTGGGACTTATATAATGCAATTAACGTCAAGCACACAAGACATGGAAAGTGACACATTTGTGTTGCTGTTCATTTATTTATAAGTTTATTTGTGTAGTGCATTTCCAACACATCTGTAGTTTCAGTTTTGCTGAAATTATTGTTGGCTTGGCGTTTATAATACATTTATAATTTATGTTTGTTTTCTATTGTATTTTTGTAATTTTTGTTATGAATACCGTTAAATTTAAAGAATTTGTTGTATGTTTTGTTTTATTAACCAATATTTTACATTTATATTTAATTGTAATAATACAATGTGACTTATACGACTTCTTTTTATCTCAACTCTCAATTTTGACCTAGTGCAATGTATTTTTTGGAAAATACTGTACTTGGATCGAGTTGGATTACACAGTTTTAATGTAAACTAATAAACAATGTGATGCATAATTTGGCAGTCATATATATATATATATATAAATGAAACTGCTAACACTGAAAAAATATATACTGTATATATAAAATAATAAAAAAGTAATAATAATAAAAAAAATATATATATGTATTTATTTATTTATTTATTTATTTTCAGTGGTGGCCAGTTTCATTATCGTGACTATTATAAAAAATAATAAATATTGTATTTTAAGTCTTGTAATGTTTTGTATATAGACACATACGCAAACACACACACATTACATACATTATTTACATTTTCAGGTTGCATGCACAATGTTTGCATTTTGTATCTCCTTTCAGATTTGTCAATAAATATTTTTTTGTATATTACAAATTGATCGATTGTAGTTTAATTGGCTGTGTTACTAATAACCCAATACCAACAAATGATATATTACAGCTCTCTACAGCTGCATTTATTTGATAAAAAATACAATAAAAACTGTGAAATGTTATTACAATTTACAAGAACTCTTTTGTATTTTAATATATTTTAAAATGTAATTTATGCCTGTGATGAAAAGCTGAATTTTCAGCATCGTCTTTAGTGTCACAAAATCCTTCAGAAATCATTTTAATATGTTAACTTGCTGCTTAAGAAAACATCTCTTATTATTATCAATGCTTTTTTTGCTTTTTAAGCTTGACTGTGTCTGCTTTCCCTTTTCAGAACTATTATGTCATCCGACCCTCTCTCCATTAAAGCCTCTCTATCTCTGGGTTGTCATCCTCATGTGTACAGTGTGCACTCAGTACAGGAGGGAGATGCACATTAACAATAGCCCCGCTGGTTCTGCTGGCCCTGTGGCCCTCAGGAGCATGTGGCCTAGCGGGGGGATAATAGCTCTCTACTCAGATTATCTAGGTCACTTTTTGTGTGTTTTCTGCATCCCGTGAGGGGGGGTCCCATGTGTTTGTGTGTGTGTGTATGTTTGGGTGGAGAACAGTGTGCATTGTGGACCAGCATTAGTGACGGCTCCACGGTGAGGAAAGTGGACTTTCCCTTTTATGGTGCATCATTTTGTTTTTCTTCATCTTTGTGTTTGTTTTCTTTTCATTTGCCTTTTATCTGTTTTGATTGCTGTTTCCAGATGAGATATTAATCGCTTAAAAAGAAATGAAAGGTGGACAGCGAGAGAAAGACGGCAAGGACGCAGTTATAGCATTTCAGTGCCAACTGTGTTCAACACTATCGGCATCCTGCTCAGTAGGCGACACTGAAGCGTGGTGTGGTCGTTTTGGGTCCTGTAGAGTAACTGAAGTCATGGTGAGTGTGTATTTGTGTTGACAGGGTGTCGGTCATGCAACCTCTGTGAAGGGAGGAGCCATGGACAAACCCAAGGTGGACGTCCCAAACTCCAGGACTGCACAAGTCGACTTAAGGTGAGGGAGTTTGTGTATGCTTAGTGTATGATTATGTATAAACACTCAAAATGGGGGTATGAAATAATAATAATTGAGTATTCATTTCAAGCAGCAGTCTGCACTGAGATGAATTTGGATCTTTGTTTTGTGAAAGGTTCTTTGTTGTCAGATTAAGGTTATTTCTGTGTGTGGACATGAGGTCTTTGTTGACACATTTTATATGTACTTATCTTTATATATCTTTATTTATATTTTGTTATTTTTTTAATAAATATTTAAATACATAGATATTAACATTTATTAACTACTTTATTTTTATTTATACATTTCTTTTTAAATATGTGTATTTACTTACATTTATTTTACATATTTATTTTTCATAATTCAATTGTTGATTTATTAATTCATTTATTAATTCAATTCTTTAAATTTGAATTGATTTTAATTTAGTTTGCATGAATTTTATTTATGTATTCTGATCAACTGATTATGTGATATTTATTTTTAAAAGAGCCTCGTTTAACAAGTGTTTAAGGATTGTAAAGCACTTTTTTTAAGCATTGAACTGTATACTATTTCAACTGTTCATTCATGTTTAAAAATCAGGTTTAATGTCACGTACTTAAACAAGCTTTTTAATGCTTATCTAGAAGCAGCTTTTCCTATTGAAATTCTTATCAAGCTGAAATAATGGAAACGGGAGAACTGATCTTAGCCTGGAAGGTTTGGCTCTTCTGAGCATTGTGATTTCAGTAGATGATTTCACGTTGAGATGTACGAGAGCAGCACAAGAGCTTATGTGTGTATATCGAAGTTCCCGGTCTTAATATGTACACTTGTTGCCATAGTCACGGGACGGGAGATGTACATATGTCACGTTTTCTCCATTCGTTCCTCTTATCGCAGGTCATGTCACCTCATCTCTTCTCCCTGAGAGAGGGATGGAGTTTATCTCTCGCCTCTCTTCACCGCTTCTGTCAATCAGCATTACTGATGCACACACACACACACACACACACACACACACACACACACACACACACACACACACATACTTTTACAGCTCATTAAACATTGAAGTGGTCTACAGTATTGCATCACCTCAGCTGAAGCCCCTGAGGTCCATCTGGGATTCAATCACGTTTTAATAAGAGTGCTTATGTATGTTCTCTGTATTCTCGGAGATAAAATCACTTCCCATTCCTACTATATATTTATTATTAAACTTTTGAGGTCTAGTCATTTTCTTCAGCTGGATAAGTTGGGTAGATGCTGTGGGTGAAGTCAGATAAGATGCCATTTAATTTGACACAAATAAAAATGAAGCTTTGAGGGAAGAGTAGAGCATTCAAGTTGACTGTTCAGCCAACAAATATTGAAATATGTCTCTTCACAAATTTCCAGTGGACAGAAACTGTGGAAAATATTATTGAATGGTGTGTACTTTGGTGTCTCAGTCACAGCTTTTTATTAAATTATGATTTACACATGATATTACCAAAGAAAAAATATAAATAACAGTGACAGAAATTTCTTGTCTCTGGCTTTAGTTCGGATGCCTCATTCAGTGTACGTTTATAGGAGTTTTTTGACTGTTTTATCATCCATTAGGCAAATATTGTGTAATAAGTATGTAATATGAGTTTGTTCAAATGTAAGAAAATGTAATAACAGACAACTTGGAAAACACCACTAAATAAATAAATTACAATAAACTACAATAAACTAAAGTAAAATAGTGACAAAGTAAATAGTAAAATATGAATATTAAAAATATAAAAAAACAAACAAAGAAACAAAAAACACAACAAAAATAAATAAATATAAAATAAATGGTTAATAAAATGAAATGTTCCTCTCTATATATATTTAAGCAAGAGTAATCGCAGAGACATTAGAAAACACCACAAAAAGTAAAATAAAACAAACTAAAATAAAGTAAAAAATAAATGCAAATATTAAAAATATTGAAAAAAACATATAAAATATAAACTAAATAGATCTAAATCTGCAAGATTTTTTTTTGCCTGTTTTATCATCAGCCAGACAAATACTGTAAATCTGTAATACGAATTTGTTCAAATTTAATCAAAAGTAATAACAAACACCTTACAAAACAAAGACAAGAAAATGAATATAAAATAAAATGAAATAAAATAACAAAATAAAATAATAAAATAAAATGAAAAATGCATATGATAAAAATAAAAATAAAACAAAAAAAAACAAAAAAACAAACAAAAATAAACATAAATATGAAATAGCAAGACATTAGTGGCATAGACAGCTAATTTAGGTTCAGTCAGTTTCTGAGGGTGTATGGATTCATGTGAAATTTCTTTCATTTGTTTTTCAGATAATTGGTGGAATTGTGGTATGAGACTAGAAAGTATTTCATGAAATATTTTTCTCTTTTATCTTGAAGTTGATCACAGGAACAGAGAAAGTGTTTTTCTCAGCGCACACAAACACTCTCTCGGTGTGTCGTGCTGTTGTGGTGTGTGAGCAGTAATAAGCTCTGTATCTGTCTGATGAGCTGCTGCCAGTCTCAGTTTTTATTCATGTAAATTCATGGATGCTCCGGGCCACACTGGGCACATGCAAATTGGCAGAGGGGTTTTTATTTTGGGAGGAATGCAAATGTAGGAGAGGTTTTATTTTTGTGGTGATGCACTCTGCAGATCAAGCCGTGCGGAAGAATGCCTGATCTCACTAGTTGGTTGAGTTTGTTTGTGTGTGTTGGTAGTTTGCATTATCATTTACCAGATGTGGCAGCGCTTCATAATGTCACATTGACAATAATCTGTTATTAGACCAGCAGAAAGTCACATGGAAGTTTATTTTTGCGCCCACTTACAGGAATGGCCTGTCTGACAGGTATTGACAAATCTTTTTCTTTTTTTCTTTTTAGGGTTAGTATTTATAGAATATATAATTTATAATAGTAAAAGTATAATATTTAAAATAGTAAAAATAAATAAATAAAAATATCTATCTATCTATCTATCTATCTATCTATTGTCCGTCCGTCCGTCCATCCATCCATCGTCTGTCTGTCTGTCTGTCTGTCTATCTATCTATCTATCATGATAAAATAAAGTAAGTAAAAACAATAAAATAAAAAAGTTTCGGTTAGTAAGTAACTGATTTGTCTAGCTTGTCTGAATCTTCCAGAAAAGCCTCTTTTTTCTGACAAAGATTGAGGAGCTCACATCCCTCTCTCTCTCTCTCTCTCTCTCTCTCTCTCTCTCTCTCTGTCATCTCCTCCTCTCCTCTCCTCTGTCTTTATTGTGATGGGAGATGCAGGTAGGCACCTTTGCCTTCGGCTCTCATCTCAGACTCACTGAATGGCAGTGACTCCGCTGGCTTTCGGCTCATTTGCTTGGTCATTAATGTCGTCCCGCAGGACATAAACAGCAAATGGATTTGCAGTGTGTGTTGACAAGAGTACAAAGTAGCTGCTGAATACTTTAGCTTTTGTGTGTGGGTTTGTGATTTAAATGCACTGACTGCTGTAGGCCAGAAACATACTCTTCACAAGTACACGGATGCGGATGCTGGTTCAATGCATTACAAACATGTGTTTCATATACTTGCATGCATTATTGCGTTACTGTGGCAGTACCAAACATCAAGTAAGAGGGTAAATGCTCAAAATGATTGTGCCATTAAACTGATAAAACAGGTTTTGGTTCAGGTTTTTTTTCTATGTTTTAAATATGTTTTAATTTGTTTGTGTACTTTTCCTTGTGTGTGTGTGTGTCTGTGTATTTGTTTAATTTTTTATTTACCCACTTGAACTATTTATTTTATTTATTTTTTTTAAATTCTTTTTGTTGTTTTAAATGTCTTTCTCAATCACATACACTCATATGTATTCTTCCTTATAAATAATTATTTTTGTTTGTGTGTAAGTACGTATGTATGTATGTATTTATTTACTTATCCACTTGGAATTTTTATTTTATTTTATTTATTTATTTATTTATTTATTTTATTTTATTTTTTTATTTTATTTTATTTTATTTTATATCAGTTTAACAGTACATTTCCTTTGCTATAATTAAATTGGACATTTTTAAAGTTTTACCACTTCCAATCTTTTATTTTATTTTATTTTTTTTAGTTTCTTTCTAATTTTCACATTTTTCTGTGTGCTTCTGCATTGTCAAGTACTTGTGTGTATTTATGTATTTATGCATGTACTGTATATATGTATGTATGTATTCTTGCGATCCAATTTTTTTGACTGGCAGACAATACATTGGCGAAAACCTGTATACTTTGTGAAATTTTACTCTTTCCTCCAAAAACACCTTAGCATTAATTAGGCCACCCACAACACCCTTGCAACCACGTAGCAAACACTTAAAATGTCATAATATTGTTGTAATGGGGTTTGCATGGGCAAACGGCACTCAAATTTACAAAATTTAGTGTATCCTGTGTGTATTTGTTTGTGTTTCAATTAGGGTTGGGCCGATAGACGATGCCATCGCCCATCGCCGATGGCTGATAGACATCACGATGTTGAGCCGGCATCATGATTCCCCAACCCCCCGCAATCCGTCGCATCCCAATACCGTATTCGGAAAGAAAATGACGTGCGTACGGAACCCCTAAAGGGAATAAATACGTGATGGGAGGAAAATATATATTTCAATATTTTCCCTCGCAGTTATATCATTGGGTAATTATCCTACATATATTTCGGGCATCAGGGAGCCGCTATTATACCTGGCATTGAAACTTCTTTTGAATGCACGATGGCTTTTTAGTTTCACTTTCACTTTCGAGATTCGCGATCGCGCGTACTATGTTTATACTATGGAGCGGCAGTACTTACCACACATTTTACAAGGTTAGATGTTTGTCAGAGGTGCACAGGATCTGCAAATCATTCGCCATCGTCCTCAGTCATCTCTCCTTACTCTAAGTGGTAAGTGAAATTTTATTTACTGTAATGTAACAGGCAACCATTACACCGTGTCTACACCGGACGCGACAGTTATCATGTCACACCGCACCGCACCGTGCCGCATCAGCTAAAGTTTGTCTACACTAGACGCGACAAAGCGACCTCTGAAAATCATTTGAAATTTATGTCAGCACGTCATAAATAGAATGCGGCAGCAGTTTACTGTCGGGGATTTGCATCCAGTGTAGATCACTGATTATAATAAGTTCACTGATCTATATATAATGAATCTCTATTATAGATCAGTGGTTCTATAGTATTTTGCCGCGCTGCTCGCTTTCGGTGTAGACACGGTGTTAGGAATCGTTATTTGTTTTCCGTGCCTTATAAGAGTTCACGCTTCAGCTACCACTCCCCCCCCCCGCCGATGTCATCGTCCATCGCGATGTTTCACTGTAGACATTGCCCAACCCTAGTTTCAATGTAAGCGTAAGGTCAGAGGAGTGTCATTGAACACTATAGCGTTACACACACTTCGAGAGCTCTAGGAAATGATGCAGGTGACAGGAGGAGCACTCCATTGATATCCAAGACCGGTTATACGGTTCCCACCGTAATTGTTTTTTGGCTTGTCATTTTGACGTGTGACTGTTGTTCTGCTAATGTAATTGCATTTCGCTGAAAGTTTCCACTTCCAAAATATATTTTTCAGTTTGTGGAAGTCGTTTTCCTTTTTTTTTCTGCCAAGAAAAATGCAACTAACCACCGTGACTGTTGTGCTTTTCTTACTGCAGCAGCCTCACACGGACGGTGGAGATTTCTGGAGACTTCGGGCCTCTGGGCATCAAAGTCATATCATACTGTTCCTCACTGAGTGGAAGGTAAAACACACACACACACACACACACACACACACACACACACACACACACAGACAGACACAGACAGACAGACAGACAGACAGACAGACAGAGACAGATTCATGGCATCTTTACACAGTTGCATGATAATGGACCATGAGATGCACTATACAAATTTGCTGTTGGATTCTCAAGTATTAACTTTTAGTTTGTAGACTTTGTTGTTTAGAAAAAAAAAACAAAAAACTTTTATACAGCTGACAATCTAGCAGCGTGAGTTTAAAGGGATCATTCACCAAAAAATGAAAATTCACTTAGTATTTTATGTCGGCATCCACCATTATGTGACCAGTTGATCAGTACGTGTAATTTACCGTAATTAAATTGGGCTTTTTTATGTTTGAGTCTTTCATTTATTTATTTAAAATAAATATTTAATATTACATTTAATTTTTTTAATTATTTTATTTTAAATTATTTTGTTTTGTTTTATTTTATCCATTGGTCATTTTATACAACATATATAATATAATTCTATTATATATTATATAAAACAATGTCAGCTGATCAGTTGGTAAGCTTGTCTCATGTACTATAATTAAACTTTCTCTTTTATGTTTTCCACACTTTGGATTTTGTTTTGTTGTTTTTTGTTTTGTTTTGTGTTTTTTTTTTTTGTTCTGTTTAGTTTTGGCCATTTTATTCAACACACACACACACATATATATATATAAATTATATAACAATGTCAGCTGATCAGTTGGTCAGGTTGTCTCATTTACTAGAATTAAGCTAGCTTTTTTATGTTTTCCCACTTTTGAGTATTTCTTTAGTTTAGTTTAGTTTTTCAGCATTGGCCATTTTATAAAACAATGTCAGCTGACCAGTTCGTCAGCTTGTCTCATTTACTATAATTAATTTAATTTTAACTTAATTAAAATTTTTTTTTTTTTATGATTTATTTTATTTTTCAGCATTGGCCATTACATAAAATAATATCAGTTGACTACTGGTCTAACTTAAGTAAATTTAAATAAAACAAATATGTTTGACTCTATAAAGGAGTAGCATTACCTTATGTCACAAACACTATCTAGGGCATGTGTGCATTACTTAGTAGTTTCACTTTCATAATATCAAAGTTATTAGTCAACAGTGTCCCATTCATGTTCGTCCATAAACACGCACTCACACACTTACAGGAAGTAGCTAGGAGAATGGCTCTTTCAGGCTGGATGAACAGGTCAAAAGTTAAGTGCTCAGGGCAAGGACACACACGTGCTGCATGACAGGAAGTCCTCCCTGGGTGGACGCTGACATGCTTCCTGTTGTTGGGGCCTGTGCGCCCTGTTGAGCTCCGGATGGAAACAGACCCTCTCTCTGTAGGTGGGCAAACCTGTGTGGTGGCCTGGTGAACTACTCTTTAGGGTGTGTAAGTCTCAAAGGAAACCCTAAAATCTTAAAGGAAGTAACAGCAAATGAAATCCTGTATTTAGTTCATTTTCCCAGTGATCACAAAATTGATCATTGAAAGGGTTGTCTGGAAAGATCACTTCTCAAAAAAGAAAAATGCTGATTTCTCCAATATTGAGAGTTCAGAAAAAGTTTCTAAATTATGTATGATATTTTCATTAAAATTATATTTTATATGTTTGGTTGACTGTATTATATTTTGATAATGAACAGACTGCGATGTAAGTTTGAATTGCTAGAATATGTGGGGTGTGTGCGTGTGAGGTGCCGGCGCGATCGAACAGCTGAAACATAAAAAAACTTGTTTATGGAGCGCCGCGCCACACTTCTGTTTTAAATCTGTTAGCTTAACTATTTAAGCCAGATATATTTCGCTTTTTTTAAAATTTTTTTAATGAAAACAAATTGTTATTTTTATTTAGGCCTATTGCTTACATAGGCTATACATTTTCCTTAAAGCATCCCATTTTGTCCCAAGGCTTGAAAACCTGTGCCCTAGGCTAGTTCGGTCCATGCAGAAACTTGTGAACGATGCTCTAGTTGTGGCATCACTGTTTAGTGACATCATTAAATGCTCCGGGAAAACGCGTCGTGTCGGTCACAGCGCCTTTTAATTGCTGTTTTGAATCCAGTAAATTAAATTTAAGCTGAATATATTACACTGATGTATAAACTTTTATATACAATTATCAAAACATTATTTATTTATTTATTTATCTTATATACTTCACATACTTTTATCATATACTTTTTTCTGTTTTCCCACCTTTTTATTCCCATATTTTATTTTATTTTTCCTACACCTTATAATAAATTCTGGACATATGTCCATACATATCTCCACTTTTAAATCCTCCAGTATTTTTTATTTCATTAATTATTTTTTTCACTACACCTTTTAGAATCTACATATCTCGAATTTTAAATCCTCCAATATTTTTTATGTCATTAATTTATTTCCCTAAACCTTGCTTATAATAAGTTCTGGACATATTTCCATGCACATCTCCATTTTTGAATCATTATATTTGAAATATTTTATTTTACTTTATTTTTTAGTTTATATTATTTTAGATCATTTACATAACCTCCCACTGCATCTGGCGAACAAGCAAACCACTAGGCCACAGTTCCACCACCATTTTATTTATTGTACTAACAAAACTACAGACATTTTATACAAGTCATTTTCAGTTGTAATCCAGCTACTTATGTAAAATTATCTTCAGTTATTTTCTGAATGGCCTTCCCTGTCTGAAAGCTGTTTGTTGGCTGTGTCATCAGGACTCTGGGTCTAGATATCCGAGCCATCGAGATGAACAGCTGCTCTGAACGAGAGGGGATCTTTGAAGAGGACGAGTGCATCGTGCAGATCAATGACACCGAGTTAATAGACAAGTCCTTCGCTCAGTGAGTGTCTGACTCTTTCATCCGTCACGCTTTCATTGTTTCTCTCCACTTCATTCTCTTCTTTCATTATCCATCTTTTGTGTTGTTTTTGCTTTCATGCGACTCTGTCCTAGTCGCTCATAGCGTGCAAACACAATCGTCCCGAACCATTTGTCCTCCTTGTTATCTATCACTGTCTCATTTTCCTCACCTTCTTGCAGAGTTTCAGTGCTATAACTTTAACACAACAAAAGAGAATGGTTTTCTCTTGCCACGAGTGTGGAATGGCCCTATTAAATGGCATCCGCGGCATCGGACAGCCTTCAAGAGAGCGTCAGATTAAACGAAGTGGCACTATTAGAGGAAGAGTTAGAGAAATGGCTATGAGAGTTAAAGGTTTTGAAGTAGAAAAGATAAAAGACTTCAATCAAGCAAGTCAATTTTACTTCTCCTGCGGCATCCTGAACTGAAGTTTGCTTTAACGCACATTTAACACAACATGAATCGATCCATTTTTTTCCTCTGACATTCACTTTTAGTATTGTTGGCCATTAATTGTCTGTGTTTTCTAAGTTTTTGTACTTGTTGATAACTGTTTGAAAATGTTATAAAATGGATGTTTCAGAATCTAAATTTGATTAGATGAGTCATGTTTTAAGTCAAAATTTAATCGTTTTCATGTTTAGAAATTTAATTTGGCTTCCTTCCTGACTAAAGTCTATTCAGTTTTTATTATTAAAGCATTTTTTCCATATTGAAGCATCACTTTTTTGCTTCTGTAACAGTAATATGATTGTTATAGTTCAAAAGTTAAAAAAAACTGTTGTCTTGGTGTAAGAATTGTTTTGATTATTAGTACTAATAAATGTATTATATTTCTATCGTCAGCATTAAAAGCGTTAACTTATGTGTTGCATTGAGCCTAATTAGTGATTTACAAGCTGAACAAATTTGTGTGTGTATTGTTGTAAAACCGCGAATGAAGCATCAGAATTGACGTTGTTGATTTCACGAACAATTTAAAGTAGAGAGATTCAGTTCTAGTGATTTCACTATGGTTGAAGTCGGCATAGTTCCAGTGAATTTTTGTTAAACTATGTTTTACACTATTAGGAACAAGACACTCAACTGTGGTAAAATCTGTAATGCACCACCAAAAGTTTAGTTTGACACATTTAACACGGCTTAAATTGTGTCAAATGACTTCTGCTGTTAGTAATGCTATCCATTTTTATAGGTTTTTATCAAATAAAAAGTCTGTTTGGATTAGCCACGTGAAGTCATTGTAAAATATGATTTATGCAAATGTGGCCGTATATCAATTGAATGTCATTATCGTAGTGCCATATTTAATTTTATGCAAATGAAAATTGGACCGTGAGGGGCAACTAATCAGAAATTCCTTCTTTTTCAATTGTGTTGTCTAAAATTTGGCATCTGTCCTTACTAAAATCCATTTAAATTCCAAATTAAAATGACAGTACTTCGCATATATAACAATCTTTGATCATTGTTGATTGGTACCAATAAACACCATATAGATGGGCAAAAAAAAAGTTTAATTGTATTTGTTGGTATCATCATTAGTATCATCAAAAGTGACAACATTTATGTTATTTATTTTGCAAATTATTTACAAAATGACTCATGTTGAAGTCGACATGAAATGGAAATTCACCCTATTGAATTTCCATTTATTTTCAATTTTTTTTATTTTTACTAAATGCATCTTAATGATCTTATTGTGGACTGTAAAATCTGTAATGCACAACCTTTCTTGGTTTATTATTTTAACACAATCACACTGGTCTGGTAAATTCCAGGCTGATCTTATGTAGTAAGGTGGAAGTGTTGAGAAGTGATTCCCACTCGAAGTCCTTGAATGGTGGTAATGAAGGAGGCTGAATTCATGTTATCTACAAATATGCATTACAGAACAGTAAAGGTCCTTGCACACTGAGTCCGAAATTTTTGTATGCGTTTTTTTCGTATTTGTCATCCTTTCCTTTCAAAATGCTTGCTACGTATGCGAAAACGCAGAAAATCGAACCTGGTCCGAATTTTTTTATGACAGATGAAAGTTTCGGAGTGCAGTGTGTAAATGTGATTGACACAACGTGAGGTCGTATTTATTTTTCAACGTGCGAAAATTTTGGACGAAAAATTCGGACAGAGACCTTAAGACATGTTTTCGCTCTTGATGTTTTAGGTCTCAAGAAGTGTTTCGCCAAGCCATGTCCTTGCCCACCATACGTTTGGAGGTGCTTCCTGTCGCCAACAGGCTCTTCTATGAAAAGAGCCTCATCGGGCAGCTTTTCAACAACACCGAACCAAACCCTGCGGTCCCTAAAGTCAAGAGTCCTTTCTTGGTTCATAAGCTCACTCCGAGCAATACATCGACGCCGTCTCCAGAGCCTCCTGCATCACAGACCCCACCCCAAAAAGAGGAGGAGCTTCAGCCTTCAAGACACACCCCCGTCCAAACGGATCATCACAGAGTTACGCCTTCTCCTCCAGTCAGTGCGTCACCTACCCTGAAAGATGGCAGCGAGAGCCCCACCCCCAAAAAGACCCCGGCCCTCGTCACGCTGGTTAATATGATCAACAAAAAGTCTGCGAAGAAAATGAAGATCGATTTGAAGAAAGGTAAGCTGGATGTGAAATCAGATCAGTACCCATTGAATTAAAAAAAGTTTTTGCTCAAAAATTATATCACATTATGCACATAAAATGGGTTGCGAATGTCATTTCATGTTGATTTAAAGTTTGAATAGTAGAAACTCTGTTCAGTTGACCAGAAGGTGCTGTCATGAGCCCTGCGATTTAGCCCATGTCAAAACTGCTGCATAGCAACGTCTGTACTTGTTCTTCTCCCTTTTTTCCTCACCTCTCTGTCTTTATCGCTCCTCTCATGTGATTGACAGCTGCTATTGTTTAAAACTTTAATGTCAGGTTCTCTTCTGGGACTCGAGATTTCATCATTTGCCATCTTTAGTATGCTGAATGGGCCGCTCTCCTCTATGACATCTCTCCCTCAAGTGTGTGTGAGCGAGAGAGAGCAATTCTCGGCTTCAGTAATCACACGTGTCCCTGCAGACGAGAGACTCGAGGGAATCGCTTTCTTAGCATGATTCTTTAAGCCTCTTTTTTTTATTTCTTCTCTTATTGTGTTCCTGGGTGAATCTTATGAAACCTGTCAATGACATGTCCAGGTCATATTTCAGCCCAAAATCAAAGTAAAAAAAAAAAATAATAAAAAAAAAATATATATATATATATATATGTGTGCACGTATATATAAGAATATATTATATATAAATCTATTCAATTTTTCTCATGCAAATGTCATCCTTTCATTGTGACATTTCATGACAAATATGTATATTTTCCCCAAATTATCATTAATGTAAGAAAATATAATTTGCTTTACTGTTCAATACCAGTAGCAGTACAATAAAATAATAGTATTGTGTTAAAGATGCATATTTATATATCTATTTGGTAGTGAACTACCTTTAATTTATGCTAATTTTACAAAAAAATAAATGAATAAAAAAAATTTTTTTTTTAATATCATGTTTTTACTAGTTTTTTTTTAATGGTAAAAAAATAATGATCTAAAAGTGTAAAGATTCTAATTGGAATATTTATTTTCTTATACAATAAATTCTAAAAATAAATATTAATTTTAATTGAATAAATATCAAAATAATTTAATACAGTATAAATAAAAATATATTTATGCAATGAATATTAAAATATGGGTCAAAGACGAAAACGGGTTTAAGCATAAAATCAATAAGTGTAATACTGCTTTAAATTGTTGTTGTTTTTCCCAAATTAAAAAAAAAAGTTTTCCGTTTATTTTAATTGCAATTTTGTTTTTGCTTTTCTGAGTAAAAAATTAATATCATGCATTTTTTCCTGATTTACAGAAGAGACCCACTAAAATGTCATTCAATGTAACAATCTTGTCAGGCATATTCACAACAAAAATCAATTTATGACATTAAAAGACTAATTACTTTCACCCCAAATGCTAATTAGTTGTAATTTTACATTTAAAAAATTTGCCACTATCCTAGGTTTTGCCCATTTGTCAGTAAGAATTTTTTACTCCGTTAAAACACAATAAAATTTAATATGCTCCCTTATTCTTTTATATATTTTAATATGTACATGTCAGAATAAGCATGTTGTTTGAATTTTTACATAAATATTGTGTTACACTGAATGACAATTTTTTTTCAACCAAATTTTGACATTTTATCCTTCAAAAACTAATTTCAAACCTTAAAAGTAGACACTTTACTTACATTTAATGTGTTTCTATGGACATAAAATCACTTTTGTAAATTTCTTTTGATGCGGACATCTTAACGTCTTTGACCCATATACTGTACATATCTATGCAATAAATACACAAATAAATGTAAAACATATGTAATTAATATAAACAAAATATTAATGTTTCTGCATTACAAAAATAAAAATAAAAAATATATTTTTTTCTCCCTAGTGATTTTTGGGTGAAATGTGACACTGACATGTTTCTGTGATATTCGCTCTTCCATCTCTTTTCAGCTTCCCTTCATCCAGTGCTTCAACTTCCTCTAATCATTTTATTTCAGACCACACCCTTTTCATTGTTTCTATCGCTCCTTTCACACCATCTCTCTCTCTCTCTCTCTCCTCAACCTGTATCCTGCTCTCTGCATCTCTAGTCTCCTGTAGATGTGTTCATGTGTGAAATTAAAGTGCAGAGCTGTCTAATCCCCGCAAGGAAACATTTATCAACGTGCAGGGGTGGAGACGGAGGTGTTCAAACCTCTGCAGAGAAACTGACAGCTTAAACACAGGTTATCAGTCCAGAGTGCTTGAAAGCTATCATCAGCGTACCGCTGACCTTTTGACCTGATCTTGGATCAGATGAGCTTGATACAGTATGTCAAGATCTACGAGGGTCATAACAGGGAACTGCTCCTTGTATGCTATCATTAAATTTAATATATGTGTTCTTGGCATCATTTCCACCATATTGCTCTCTAGACATCAGTATCCACTTTTGGAAAACCCATATTCATAGTCCGTAATTTCTAAAGCAGATTTTGGTCATAATAGTGTCACTCTACTGACATTGGCTTTTATGAAATTTACTAGTAATAGATATAGAAAACAATGTTATAATATTGGAAAAAAAAGTACACTGAGGTTTATTTCGTGTCAGTTACAATTTAGAGAACAAAGCCTCAAAAATTCTATTAAATTTTCAATGTTTAATTGTTTTGAAGAATGCAAAATTGAATTCAAAGATTAGAATTTTGATTCTGAGAAGTATTTTAAAAGGAACTTTCATTTGCAGTTTTCTTTGGCAGACCTTTCCAAATTTCCAGATTCATCTTCATATCTGTTGACATTCACACCTTTGTTGGTGAAATTTTCTCAATGCATGACGAAAATGATCAGTTCACTTGGTATGAATAGCACTGAGGTGAAAATCCAGGGCAATATTCCTTACTGTAACTAGATCCTTAGGATGTTGGCAAGTCTTCAGGACACTGTTGAAGGAATTTTATTGGAACAATTATGTACTTTTTCAACATGTCTTAAATATCTCCTATATTTTATTTGACACCTTAGTGAGTGTAACTGGGGGTGTAAATGCAAACACACTTTTTTGGTGACCGGAACCTTAGAAGAATGTTATTTTACATCATACGACGGGGTAAACTATTTTCAGACGTTAGTCTAGCTTTTGTTTTCCACACGGCTGAGTATACAACACACTGGTGAAAACGGCAAGAATTTGTGAAAACGGCAAAGAACCATTTGTCTGGTTTTCTGGTTCACTGGGTCATTAAATACATGCTTAATGTTTCTGGCCTTCCTCTGTCTGCAGGTACGGAGGGCCTCGGATTCACCGTGGTAACCAGAGACTCGTCCCTTCATGGTCCAGGACCCATTATGATCAAGAGCATCCTGCCCCGCGGAGCTGCTGTTAAAGACGGGCGGCTCAAGTCCGGAGACCGTATCCTGGAGGTATTACATGCATCCTGCGTCAATGCAGTCACGAGAGCTCAACCTGGAAAATGCTAAATCACAGATTATTTATAGGACATTAAATTATGCTATTCCTCTCCCGCCAGCTATGCAATTAAAAGGTATTGTTTTAATGCAATTTAAAGATATTGTTTCAGAAGGCTTAATGCATCCTTGACGTAATTAGGCCAATTGTCTGTCTTGTATTGCACCTGGCTGTGAGATGGAATTAACACTGACATGTTTGTCATCTCGGCACAGTGTAAATGGAAATTTTGCTCTCCGTTTTGACGGTTACAGGAAATAGCTTTCTCTCTTTCTCTAGGTAAATGGAGTGGACATCACAGGACGCACACAAGAGGAGCTGGTGGCTATGCTCCGGAGCACCAAACTGGGAGAAACTGTGTCTCTGGTAGTCGGAAGACAAGAGGAGTTTTTGCCCAGAGAACTGGTAAGACTATTGCCAAACTTCAGAGTGTAACAAAAATGAACAGTACCTTAAATTATACAGTGGTGGCCAAAATTGTTAGAACACTTGGCATATTAAAGAGGTTTCAGTTATTTTTGTTTAATTAGCTATTACAATACCCATAAAACGAACTATTGCCGGAACTACCTGCGACGGAAGGAATCTGCTGGAACATTGAAAATGATGGACTGGCCCCCTCAAAGCCCGGACCTCAACCCCATCGAGCAAATTTGGGGCGAGTTAGAAAATAAACTGGACAGATCTATTGTATGTTCAAAGGAAAGCCTTTGGCTTGAGTTGCAGAAGGCATGCGATAACATTAGTGTTGAACTTCTCAGGAAATATATTGACACTATTCCAGAGAGATGTGCTGCTGTAATTGCTGCAAAAGGTGGACATACCAAATATTAAAGTTAAAAGTGGATAAAAACAGTACGACTCACCTCATCTGATATTTGTTGTGCTCAGAAACCATCTGCATGTTTCATGAACATTATGAAATTAAATCATGTTTTGGAGGCAAAAAGGTCAATATTTTCAGATCTGACAGGTGTTCTAACAATTTTGGCCACCACTGTGTGTACAGTATGTGTG